TTCTATAGCCTTCTTAAAATTAAGATTTTTTTTCGGCGACTTTCTCTTCAGACACGTGCACTTCGTGTCCTTTCTTCAGAGAAACCACAATAATTCGTATGTCATGAAACAAGTAAGCCTGTTTCCCTATGGCTTATAAGCACCTCGGTGCGTTGAGCAGTATCCAGATATACATTTCATTGTTCTGCGCGCGAAGTGCTGGATCGGCGAAGTTACAAAACATACGAATATCAGATTTTATGAACATTCGCCCAGCCGAATTGCAGTTGTACGTGTGCAAGAGAAAACATTGCGACAGAAAGAACGGACAGAGGGCAATAAGAAAAATAACACTGCTCTTTGAAGATTGTTCTAAAATGAATTTTTCTCTTTCCGTAGCATCGCCAACAACATAAATTGCTAAATTCAATTAAGTACGTATTGTGCTAGAATTTTCGAACACATGTCTCTTGAGGGGTAAACATTTTAAGCCGAAAACACCAGTTTATAAGATTCGAACTTTATGGGACAGAATCCATATTGAGAAGCTAATAGTAGTAGTTTAATTAGTACACATTCACAACTTTCTTTCATATATTTGTTACATAATATTCTAACATTCGCAGCATTTGATGGGGCTCGAATCTTCCTTACTTCATTCACAAAAGTCCGTCACTGGTCTCCATGCTGTGCCAGATGAATCCAGTCTACAGCCTCACATCCTCTCTCTTTAAGATTCCTTTCAATATTTTCTATCTGCATGTAGAACTTTCAGACTTATTTCGTTCTTTCAGCTGTTCCAGCTAAAATGTGTATGAATTTCTCAAATATTTCACGAGTACTACGTGCCCAACCCCATTTTTATTTAGGCACCCTCTTTTTATTTCTGAAGGATCTGAAGCTCCTGGTTAGCAGAATCGGCTATAATCACAGGAAATTAAGTCACCTGTGGGTACGACATCTAGACCACTACTGCGCGTTTGATAAATTTTGTGTATAATTAGTCCTGTTTAGAGACAACAGACTGTTGTTAAGCAAACGAGTTGGTTACAAACGACCTCTGACCATAGGACTGAAGTCTAGACAAAATAAATGTTATAACCATACAAATGATAAGTTTCTTGTCGAAACATGATGTCAGATTAAGCAGCACAATTTCATTATGGGCTTCACTGCCCCTAGTAGGAGCGGAAATCTATATCCCAAACTGGTGTACGGATTTCATGCTTCTCCCATACCTGTTGCACGCCCTGTCCATTTTATCCTTCTTGATCTGATAACTGAATATTGTTTGGTGAACGTTACAAATTGTGAGGGCACGCGGTAGCGTAGTTGATTGCGGCACTATGCTACAAGCCGGAAGGTCGCGGGTTCAAGTCCCGATGAGGTCATTGGGTTTTTTTCAATTGACCTAATCCTTCCAGCTGCACTATGGCCCTGGGGTCGACTCAGCCTCTAACAGAAATGAGTACCAGGAATTAATTAAATAATTTTCCTGGGGAGTAAAGCGCGGCCGGCGCGGAAGGCTCACAACCTTACCGCCATCTTTGAGCCGATTGTCTAGATAATGTGGGACCCTCAACGTCTCACAACCCTATGGGCCTTCACGGCCTGGTACAGGGATAGCTTTACTTTTTTTTTAATATAAATTATTCAATATCTCAGTATACAAATTTGTCTTTATCTCCTCTCCCTTGGGCCCAAGCATTTTCCTCAGCACCCATTCTCAGCCGTCCCGAACCCACACTCTTCCCTTAGTGCGAGGTACCAAGTTTCACACTGGTATAAGCAGGGTATCCTGTAGTTTATTTGCCCATATTTTAATCCTTTTGTTTCAAGGTACGAGTTGAACATACAAAGGAGTCTGCATTGAACAGAAGCACGCTTTCTAGGGAATTAATCTGCACTTAACTTCTTCACGTAGCGTAATTTTAAGGCACTATTCCGTAATTCACCTGGAGGGACTGAAGAAAATAACGAATAATTTCTTTCATGATACCCTATTTCCAGACCGAGATCTAACCTAGGATTTCAGAAGATGAAGTAGGAGTTCTAAATACTCGGCCGTAATGTTCGGTGCGTAGTTGGGTAAGGACTGTGCCTTGCTACTGACGAAATCGTCTCTTGGCAACCAGTGACGACGTCCTGAGCGCGATATACATCATGCAGCTGATGTCTTTGCCTGGGATGGCGAGCTCCGGAAGGCATACAGAGTACAAAGTCCATAAACAGTGAAACCACACGCGATAACAAGAATAAGTTTAAATTTCTGAATCAATACACCGTTGCGAATGAGGCTGAATGCATTGGATATTCAGTATTCGGATAAGTGTGTGAAATCATAGACAAATATTAAGTAATGTTTCAGTATTGATATTCACTCTTATGTTGAATGTAAGATTAAGTACGAGAATACACACACCTACATTCTGATGCGAGTTTTATGGAGAAATTTAGTGTTATTAAAGATTGATGCATCTGGAAACTGAATTTACTTACTTATGGAGCTGAGCCCTTCTTGAGGAGAAGCCAAATCTACAGCTACTCAAGAATTTCCCAAAATTTTATGGAACTCGGAGGTTCGTTACCGTGTTCACAAGAGCCCTCCACTGCTCCCTATCCGGAGCCAGATCAATCCAATCTATTCCATCCCATCCTATCACTCTGAGATCCATTTTAATATTGCCCAACCACCTAGCCCTTAGTCTTCTCAGTGGTTTCCTTCCTTCTGCTTTCCCATCAATATCCTGTATGCATTCCTTGTCTCCCCCATTCATGCTACATGCCCTGCTCACCTCATCCTTCTTCACTTGATCATTCTAATTATACTTGGAGAAGAGTACAAGTTATGAAGCTCCTCATTATGCAGTTTTCTCCAACCTCCTGTCACTTCATCTCTCTTCGGTCCAAATATTCTCCTCAACACCCTGTTCTCAAACACCCTCAGTCTGTGTTCCTCCCTTAATGTCAGAGACCAAGTTTCACACCCATATAGAACCACAGGCAAAATTATAGTTTTGTATATTCTAATTTTTATGTTTTTCGACAGGAGACGAGACGACAAGAGGTTCTGGTCTGAATGGTAGCAAGCATTACCCGAGTTCAATCTCCTCTTACTCCGGAAACTGAATTATAATACAATATTATTCCAATCTAAGGGGCTGTCCGGGGACTTCGCCGTGAAAGATAAAGGATGTAATTATCTTAACAGACATTGGTCACTAGTTTCTACTGAGCGGATATGCTCATTTCATTAAGTTATATTTAACTATATCCGACTTCTAGTTCATTAGTATAATAATGCTATTTTAGTATAAATAATACGGTATGATGAGTTAATGTCATCCTGAAGGAAGTGACCTCTCGGGAAAGCCAGGCGTAGGAGGGAGGACACTACTTAAGTGGATCATAGAGAAATAGGATAGAAAGACGTGGGCTGCTTCATTTGCCTTAGGAGCTGCTAGTGAACACAGCAATGAATGAAGAGTTGTAACGCCGTGCAGTCCATCCCAGAGAACAGTACACTTCATGACCGCGACTGTGAGAACTTCAAATCCTGCAGTACTTCATCTTCGGCTGCCGTAAAAGGAGGGGAATTTCTTGATCAGTTAAGCGACTATTAGCTTGTCCACAATTCTGCTTCGGACTTACTTACCTAAAATGGAATCGGTCTTTCCCTGGCGCCTCTGGTACGGCCCAGCTGCCCGTAAGTCTCCTGGTATTTTCATGCTCCGGTTCAGGAGGGATTTGCTAACTTTTTTCCATACAGAACGCGAAAATTGAAAAAAAACGAGAAATGAAGTTTGTCAAATCTTAACTCGACCATTTTTCAAAAATCGTCGCTGAATCCATTTTCAACAGACGTCCTTACGTAAATTCTGTACAGAAGACGGTAAAATTATTCCTGGGCTTAATTAATTACGCACCGCGCCATGTAGGTGTATGGGGCAATGGAGGTATAGCTTCGTACTCATTTACGTCAGATGGAGATGAGTGGTCAGCAGCACCACTCTGCCACATCATTCGTTTTACAGAAGGCTGGGTGAGCCCCAGAGCCCGTATGGACTTTAAGGGGGAAGTTAAAAATACCTTGCCCCAGTCAGGAGTCGAACCCCGATTCCTCGGTCATCCAGTCCGTAGCCTAGAAGCTATGCCGATTAAATTATCCCGGTTATAAGTAAATTCTATATGGAAAGGAACGTAATAGTTTTGATAGCGACATCCTCCATAGTCGGAATAGCCCTTAAATCAGGCCTGTATTTTCCACCGCTGTAAACGCGTCGTTCAGATGTTAACTAGTTCAGTTCTTTATACCTCACGTTTATCTTTGCGAATAAAGAAATTTCATTATTCACTAATATTTTCTTGACATGGTATCAGCACCATAATCCTGCTGTCAGAGGCGCCTGTTCTTGTCCTACTCTCTTACGTCTGTTTTCCTAAGGATTAACGTTAATTTTTGTCCCTTCTCTTACGCAGTACCCAGTGACAAGCATTCTGGATCAGCTGCTCGCTGTGCAATGTAATGAGCCTTCCCAACTCATCACTCATAGAAATATTCTGACATACCCTGTGCCCAAATAAGCAAATAAACAATAGATATTACAGATTTATATAAAAGCAGTGTTATTAAATATAAATTCCTGATAGGAATATTCTACAGGAAGATATTCAGTAATAGAAAATAAATATCATTTTAATATCAAACTCGTTGTGATAATAATGAAATTTTCTAAATGGGGTAACAAAAATATTGTTTTCTACGTGGGACAGATTTTTAATTCATTTAATTGTTTCTAAGCATCGACAAGTCACTTCATTGTTACGTCATGTCATGACGGGTTTACGTATAACCAAGTACTAATTTCCGTAACTGTAGGATTTTTTTTTTAATTTTTTTAAAAATTTCAGAAAATACTGAGATTTGTAAACAAGGAACGCCGTTTGATAGCGTAACTCTTATGGTAACGGCGAAATCGAATATCAGCGCTATTACTATAAGCTGTATGTAGATACCTCACCTTGCTTATGCTCATCTGATAGCTCAGGCACCTGCGGCTGCGTTGAGAGGGTGTCTGGTGTGTCACTGACAGCCCGACGTCTTTTCGGAATGACACCCATGTCCATTAGGAACTTATAAGAATCCTAATTCACACAAAATTTTGGGCCATAACTAGCACATGTTTCAGTAACAAGTTCAAGCACACTGCGATTGAAATTTGCATTACGAAGTCCGTAAACTCGGGTCGCGCGCCGCGCGTGTTACCTCCCTCCGCAGAGCAGTGGGACCCAGAAGCGACTGAACAGGAGCAGCCGTCACCCACTCACATCCACTTCTCCCCCTCCCTCCGTGGACCGTAGCGCAATTCTATCAACACTTCAGATTCTTCCCCAGAAAAAAAAAAAGTATTGACATCGCGCATGCGTTCCTCTGATGGAAGTTCAGTGATGTTTTTACAGAAATTTCATTCACCCTCTCCTCTCAGTAAGCAGCACCCTTAGACCTCATCACTGCCCCCATTTTTTCTTTCTTATTTGGCAGAGATCCTGTAAAAAATAAAGCTATTCACAGTCTTTTAGCCTCAGACCAGCAACACACAATCGTCGTCTTTCTGAAATGAGTCTCCCTTTCTGGAACGAGCAGGAGAAGGTCATCAGATAGAGGATTAGCGTCTGTCTCACTGTTTGGAAAACATTTCTATTCCTATTTGTACATAAGATAAATGATGTAGTGAATACTGTTATGTTCTTGCGGTCTCTTTACTGCAGTTTCAACGGCATCTTTGACCATAAGCGGGAACGAAGGCAATTTTTAACCGCAATTATACAAATAGGATTTCCTAACTAACTAACTAACTAACCGGCTGTCCCTCCTGAGAAACTAATATTCACTGAAACGGTCACAAATTCTCCGCCTCTTGTACTCGTATAACCGGAGGATTCAGTATCGTTTTCCTAAGAGTTAACCACTGGACCCTATCCTGAGCCAGATAAATTCAATCAGTATTTTCTTACACGTATTTCTTTAAGATGTATTTTAATATTATTTTCCCATCTACATCTTATTCTCCCAAGTGATTTCTTGCCTTCAAACCTGGTATGTTTCTAATTTCTTCCGTGTGGCTACTTGTCTCACTCATTGTATCCCTCTTGCTGAGTGCTGAACTCTGAAAAATGCAGTCTTCTCACATTTGACGCCGTGTAGATCTTGAGTAAACCGACGTCTCGAAGGAATGTATCGCTTCCATATTCAGGGTAGAAAGTATATTTATGCAGCCACCTCCTCGAGCTGATTCTTCACTTTCGGATTTTTCTACCCTGAAGATGGAGACGATACTTTCCTCCGAAACTTCGATTCACACAAGATCTACACGGTGCTATATCCTAGAAGACGGCATTCTCCATAGTCACCGCCGTGAAAACCTCAAATCTTACATACTTAATTCTGGACTTCGTAATCCGGTTTCAGTATTTCTTTGATTTTAACGCACAATTGGTGATATTAACATTCTCGCTGTCTTTATTCATTTCATAATTTATTATTAGTAAACGCAGATCTCCAAACAGAGAAAATAATTATTCTTAATGGTGTGACACAAAAGGTCTTCTTTGATGTTGCACTCCGGTTTATACAAGTAAAGAAACTCTCTGCTATGCGCGTCTGTCCATATGGTTACCTTTCGTTGTTAATGTGAAAGCTCTCGAGTTCCAGTTCGGTGAGATGCATCATAGGAATTAATCGGAACCGAATTCTATGTTACGTTACTACTCGCCCGCGCCATAGCTCAAGTGGTTAGTCGCTGGGTTCCCACCGCGGTGGCCCGGGTTCGATCCTGGGTCTGTTCAAGTGGGATTTGTGGTGGACAGAGTAGCGCTGGGGTAGGTTTTCTCCGAGTACTTCGGTTTCCCCTGCCAATCTTCATTCCACCAATTGCTCCACAATCACCCTCACCTATCATCTGGATCTGGTACAATAGGCCAGAAGTGGCAGCAGTACAAGGGACTTAGTCCCACCCCACTAGCAATAAAACAAATACGTTGCTACTCGTAGAGTCCAAACTAATAGGAAACGGTCTCGTGTGTGGAGACGGAACAGACCGCCCTACCTAACCGCTTATGTTACTTATTATGATGTCAAAAGCACACCGGGTCCAGGAAGAACGACATGGGCAGTGCTGTTGAAATTATTGAATAAATTAAAGGACATACTTGTCAGTATTCAGTTCTGAAGCAGCTGCCGCTCCGCCTGCTTTCCAAAAGAAGATACGTCATAATTGTTTTGTCCATTGTTGGATGTGGTTGTAAAATATGATCTCTTATTTCGAGAGAATATAATTAAGTCTGTTTGAAACCAAAGTGCTCGGAGAGGTATATATGCCTAAGCAGGCTGAAGTCAGGAGACTAAAGTGAAACAGTCGTTGTTTACACTGGACACGCAGTTAGCATAACGAATCGTGTGAACTGGCCGGCCGTTGGCGCAGCATGAAGTGTCTTCAAGATGGAGACAAATGCAAGTGCTGCTGTGTCACTGTTGTTCACTTATTGTGCGAAACTATACGCTAGATATTTCGACTTTGTCTATGTCATCATCAAGTTCTGGAATTGAGTTGTCTTAATATGGATCAATATTTTACATCCTGTTGTTATTATTATTATTATTATTATTACAGCGAATATATCTTTTGGAAAATGTAAATTAATATTATGTGTAAAATCTTAGTGATGCGCTGTTGTTGCCTAAAATTAGAAAAAATTAAACCCTATTATCTTATGAATTTTATTATTTAGTATTAACAAATTTATTAATGTAATGCGTCTCCAAATTGGTTCGAAAGTTATTAAAAACTTCTAAATAAGTATTTAAGTTAAATAACTCGTCGAATTATATATTCAGTTTTAAGTTTATTGCTAAAAGTAGTCTTGAAAATTAGCTAAAACTAAAAATAACTTAATGTTATCGTTCAGGTCGTAGTCATGGGTCGACGTGTCGTGTGGGAGCCCTTCTTCCAACTTCCGTCTTGTGGATATTATTAATTGCCGTGTAAATGGCTATCTTAGTATATACCTGTGTATTCCTCGCAGGTAGTTTTTGTATTTGTATGTGTGCAGTTAGGTGTTTAATATTTATTTTGTCTATGAAGATGTCTCACGTTGTTGTGGTATTTTTCACGTAGCGACAAAGTCTGATGAAATCCAGGAAGCTATTATTGGCTAGATATATAACTCTGCAGCTATGATGAAGAGACACGAAGTACAGAACAAAACTCTGGTAGAAAGACTCCTTGGAAAGCGACCGCTTCAAAGGCCGAGGAGAAGATGTGAGGACAATAGTAAAGAGACGGGATATGATGGCGGGAATTGAATGAAACAAGCTTAGGATCATATTCAATGGAGGGCTCTAGTATTAGCCATGTTGGAATTTCATGTTGATATGTACATTATCACAGTTGTTCCACAAATTGTATCTTCTGCAGAGAAGCAACCAGAATGCATTGCAATCACTTACAGGCAAACAGAGAGCGAATGCATTTTAGTTTCCTGTGTTTTCGTTTGATTTTTCTGAAAGCCCAGATTGGAACCTTATTGACTTTATGAAAAAGAGATCACATAAACAGTTTCCAGTTTTTCTTCTGTATACGTTATAATGGATAATGCGCGTGTTTAGTATTGAGAACGAAAGAAAGGGGAAGTATCCCCTCTGCAGCAATGCGACAGCTGAATCCTGTGCAGAGTGGCTGCATATCTACTGCGACGTTACTCAACTATCCGGGCAGAAAATTGCGGTTAAACTCTACAGGGATATCTCTGGGTAGCCAAGTAACAGAAGTGACATTTGAAACTGTTTTCAATTACCAAGTTAATGCTGATATGGACCGTTTTGAACTGAAAAAAAGATTCTGAGCCTTCCGAAGACGTTTGCTTATTGTGAAATGAAATACTTCACATGCACCAGTGCATGTTCTCCGGTATTGCACCCGGTGCAGAACTGTGAAAGCTCGCGGGGGTTTGCACCCGTTATAAATATGTGCTTTTTGGATTTTCTGTATTAAAGAAAAATCGCTTTTCTTCTTTCAGCAGATTTGAACGGAATAGGAACGTTTCAGTATTTTAAGTTGTATTATCTCAAATTTGAATGAGTATTCAGTATATTAAATAATATTAAGCAAATTACATTATGAGCTTTGATTCCTTCGTTTGTGAAAACTAAATAAGACTGCTCGATTGCAAAACTTGGACAGTAATTATTTTTCGGTAAAATCAGAAATGAACACCTGTACCGGTCAATTGAACTGAAGAATGTGTACTGATATTCTGTGTTAGATGCCACGTCGATTGGCAGAGTTTCACTAGGGTTCTGCAATAGCAGCAAGATTCCACCTTACTGTCCTCTCCTCTACAATTTCTAGACTTGGGTATCAGAAAATCGAGTGATTTTTCATTCGACATTACGTTTACTGCGTGGTCTTAAGGTCTTTAGAAATCTAATTGGATTTTATCGTATTCTGTCCGAATTAAAAATCATTAAAATTGTATTTATGTCTTCGGGTACCGACATGCTTGCAACGTACGCTCAGTCGATATGAAGAGCCCGTATCATGCATCCATGCTCGTGACCCTTCCCGCCCGGCGATCACTCGGCTCCGAGTAAATATAATTGCCCGCCCCTCTTCTACAGGCAAGTTATGTGTCAACTTCCTGCTGTTCTGCGACAGGATCCCACCGTATCATATACAATTTCACACACTAATAAACTTTATGTCGATTTATTTTAGTCTGTTACTAGATGCAGAGCAGATGAGCAACTACCGTGGTGGGTGGATAATTTCATCTCCTTCGTTAACACATAAAGGTTATTTTCTTTTAAGAAGTTGTAAAAACTATTCGATTATTTAGTAGTGAAATATTCGCTTTCTTTTTAAATGCTAAGCCTACAGTTTCAATGAGAACAAAACATAATTATTCCTGTGCTTAATTAATTCAGTACCACGTCCTGAAGACGCATGAGGGAGTGTAGGTATGGCTCCATCATTCTTAACTTAAACACTAGATGGATGTGCGCTTACAGCTACAAGTACATTCCTCTCTATCCTCGGGGAAACAGCCCCCTGTACCCTTTATATAGGAGGCTGTGTGTTGGCCGGTCTCGATGCCATGGCAAAGGGATAATGTACTTGCCGGGAACCGCGATCTGATTTCTCGGTCGCCCAGTCTAACTGGGGCCACTCGGCACGGCGGCCACTCACTGGCCTATTGTACCTGCCCCGGGTGGTTATGATGATGGAGAATTTGGTGAAATGAAGATTGGCAGGGG